CTCTCCCCCCTTTTGGACTTCAGCTTGACCCATCTTTTAGACCAGATGATGATTTCCTCTTCCATTACCCATTTTTCTAAAATGTTTACCACATTTTGTGGATTTTGTTTATGTCAAAAACATTTCACATTTTAAATTAAAATGCAGCATTTTTCAATGGTTACTTTTGGCTTGTGGCATGTTGGACATACTTTAAACCACAGACTTCATCAAATAAGTAGGTAAGACAAATGTGACATAATTACTCTTGAATATGTGAGTATGATTACTTCCCAGATATATTTTTCCAATCTGTTACATTAAAAAAATATTCAGTAACTTTTCAAGAAGGTTTAATGATCCAGGGTGCTTTGGAGCTTCAATAAGTGTACTTCCATTATCCAGTCATTGTGTAACCTTGGCTCTAGCCTTTCTGAAAATACATTTAATTAAAACCAGATAGCTAAATGGCCTACCCATGGCAAGTATAAAATTCAGTATAGAAACAGTCTTAGCCTTCCCCAACATATTACATCCAGATGAGAATGCTAATTGTTTCTTGTGGGGAAAACAGACCTTTCAAACAAATTGTGAAAAGTAACAATTGACCAAAGTAAGGGGAAATACAGTATTTGGATGGTCTTGTTTTGGGGAACAAACTGAATCTATGACAAGTGGGAGGTCTTGCTTGGGAGGGAAGAAAAGTTAAAAGTGGGGCTCAGGATTGGCATCTTNATTGTTTAGAAACATTCATGTTAAGAGAAATATTGCAACTTACATTGATTTAAAGACTGACAGACAATCTGTGGCATAACTCATTTCACTATTGTGATATCTGTACATGTAGATAAAGTTATATTCTGCTGATGATGACTTCTGTTTTAGTTTTGCTGCTAAGTAACAAGCAAATGGTTGGGATGTTTAGGGCAAGGATGGACAACTATGGGCCTTTTTACGACCTTTGGATTTCAACTCCCAGAATTCCTGAGACACCCATGCATGGAGTTGAATTCTGGGAGTTGAAGTTCACAGGTCCTAAAGGGACCATAGTTGACCACACCTGCTTTGGGAGTGCTTTACTTGCTGTAAAGGTTTGAATGGATTCTACAGCATAGGAATATAGCAGTTGCTCTTTAAGTGATACTGTATGCTTTATTACTAACTTATTTCTTCGATGCTTCCATTAGCTTCTGATTTATCCTGTGTGAACCCAGATCACTTATATGATCACACCATTTGGATCCAACAAGAGTCTGTTAATCATTTGTTCTGCTCTTTGGATAATCAACTTCTTTCAGTCTGCCTTTGACTTGGGCGTCCAGAGAAGCTAAGATTGCCACCAGCTTAACGTCTCCTTCTCCTCCTTCGGCCACCTGCACAGCACACTGCAGAATACAACTACATACCTCACCTTTGAGCACCTCAGGGCAAATGATGTAGACAACTACACCTGTTCTCTCTACTTGAATAATCAAAGAAATATCTCCTTTATTATTCAGCTGGACCATGGCGGGTGAGTACATGAGAGAAGTGACCATTTTGCTTTTCTAGCAGCCATGTTTCCTAATTTTCTACTGGTGTTTTGAGAGAGACTAGTTTTTGGTCTAATTTTAGCTTTTGGAAGATTTCATAGTTGATCTGTACCTTACCAAACAGTAAGCTTGGCTTGGCTTTCCTCCTCACTCACTCCTTCAGAGTAAGGGCATGAGCCTATCATTATCATCTGATTTGCACTTTCAGACTTTTTGATGTATCTGTGTTGGTCTTGGACTGATTTAGTAAGGCAAAAAATATGTGAGATCCTGTGGTATAATGAGTTTTTCTACCCGATCCCCACTTCTTTGGCTCTTTTTGCAGCAGTGAGTGAATCTTACTATGTTACTGAATTCCTTAAGTTTCTGAGTGGAAATTTACTTAATGAGGAAGAGAAGGTGCAACATGTCTGCTTTTGTTATGTTGGCCATAATATTTATTTCTAGCTTGTTTTGTGTGTTGGGGTAGAAAATGTATTGAAATTGACATCTGCTTGTGAAAAAACACAAGTTTGTAGAACTTCTTTAAGCTCTTCATTGCATTTATATTGTATCTAGGGTAACATAAATAGTTGTAAAAACAGATTGCAAACTAATTTGTGCAGTTAAAAAATGACTCAAGAATAATCTCTCCTTATGTAGGTGCTGCTAAAAGGAGAAAAAGATTTTTAATTGCACTGTGATAATGAGTGATGGAATTAGAAATGGGTGAGGAGAGATGGGTAAAGGTATTTAAGGTATTTAAGGTATTTATTGGGATTTATATGCCGCCCTTTTCCCTGAGGGGACTCAGGGCGGCTTACAACCACAAGGAAGGGG